ACCCCTTTAATATAATTTAAACGGATGAGTTATAAAAAAAAATTCACCCCCCCTCACAGTTGTCATGAAGGGCAAAATTAGCTATAAGACCAAAATAATTTTTTGAACCAGGCTGTAAACATGTTTTTTTCTGCTGTAAAGTTGGGCATTTTAACATGGGGAGTCTATGGGATTGACTCCCTTTTGCAGCCAGCCTCTAGCGGCCAGTTGATGAATTACAGTTTAAGTCACTTCCTTGCTGGCTTCACGAGAGAGAGCGGGAGGTTGCCGCTTGGTGTGGACGCTAATATCGTTATCTTTATAGTTATCGTTCTTGGTGTGAACGGGGCGTAATTATTCATTCAATTTAAGCACATTAGTGTACAGTACACTCATTTTTTCCAAATGACCAAACTGTACTAGTCTATAGCATCATAGCTCTTCCAATCATAACTTCTTCTTTTTTTTTTTTACTTAAAGGTATAGTAGCAAAACAGTCTGTTTAATTTTAAAAGGATGGTTCTCTCAAAAATGACAATTCTGTCATAATTTACCGCCCCTCATTTCGTTCCAAACCCATAAGATTTTCATTCATCTTCAAAACACGAATGAAGTTATTTTTAATAAAAACTGAGAGCTTTATCAATCTCCTGAAAGTCCAGGTAATCAAAAGTTTCTCCAAGAAGGTCATAAAGGCCACATAAAAGCAACTCATATGAAGATATTTTGTTTCCACATGCATAAGCAATCACATCGCTTCATAAAATTGGGATTGAATCACTGGAGTCACATGGATTACTTTTTTTACGATGCCTTTATGACCTTTTTGGAGCTTGAAACTTTTGATTGCCTAAACTTTTAATAGATGAACAGAAATCTCCTAGGTTTTCTGTAGAAGAACAAATGTTTTATGGGTTTGGAACAACATGAATGTGAGTAAAAGAACTATCCTGAGAAGATGGAAAACACAACTAAAAAACAAATGAAACTAATGTTTTTTTTGTGTGTGTGTGTGTGTGTGTGTGTGTGTGGTGAAAGAACCCTTGACTAACATCATCAAGTGCAATTCAGGGGGAAATAAAATGCAACAGTATAGAATATGGCTCCTTCATTACTATAATCACAATTTATGACTTTTAATAACTTGCTGAACAGGACTCATGATGAATTCTCCAGATGTATACAGTAATTATCAGTGGATCAGCGTGAAGGCCCTGCTTGACTTCAGCATGTCTGTGTGTGTAAGGTCAGAGATAAGCAGAGATGATATTCTCACAGCAGGGAAGAGGTGCCAGCTCACAGGAATGTGTTCTGAGCGGCCACAGGTTGGCATACATGTCTCCTCCCCCATATAAACCCCCACCATCACACCAGCCGGGCATCAGGCCAGACATCTGGCACTTAAGCTCCCTTATACCTGCTGCCTGCCCGTGTCCTGCTGTGACCCTGAGTCCTCCACACACACACACACACACACACACACATGCTCAATCTCTAAACCCACTCAACCCCCAACACATGACCTACCATGATAGCTTAATGCTAACTGGCAGTCTGTGGAAAAACAGCATCAAAGTATTATCAAATCTGAGTAATAAGACTAATGTGAACTTGCAAGGATCATGCAAACATATAAAAATAGGAACATATGCGAATTATACTAATCATTTAGAAGCATTAAAATGACAAGGGCTGCGTTTCTCGATAACGATTGATCTTAGCGCTTAAGAGCGTTTTCTACGAGTCATTTTACGATGGATCGTTCGTTATTGTTTCACGTGCGTTTCCAAAAAATGCACTTAACGCAATCGCACATAGCCGTGCTTTAAGTGCTACTTAGGAGTCGCTATCCGTTTGTCAAGTGCTGAAATGTCACCTTATAGAATGGCTCGTAATTGTAGTACACGCTCGTTTATTGAAATGTTAACTTAATGCTGAGTTCCAGACAACTTGGATATAATAACAATAATTATATTATATTATATTAATTATATTATATTATATTTATACGTATAATCTTATACTTTACATAATTATATACTTTATACAAAAACATATATTATAGTATATAACATCTATATAGAGACGTTATTTCCGGCTCCAATACATTGGTTTTCGTGCACGTCAGTAAGTCATTGACAGATTTTTTCCTCCCAGTCTTTAAAGCATATTTCCTACATTACTTATTTTATAAATTTTCTTTTTTTGGTTCAATCATTCAATTTAGATGTGTATTTAAATTTTTTCTGCCCTTTTTAATTATTTCATTTATAAATTCATAAAGCAGGTGACCGCATAACTCTGTCTTCTTACGATGCACTTAGGGCTTTACGATTACTCCAGAGCACTCGTAGATCTACGATGATTTTCAAGTGCTACTTAAGTTACGATGCTTTTGGGAAACAGATCGTAATATTAAGATCAGTCGTACGATCGTTTTAAAAAAAAAAGGAGACGTGACATGTGGCCAAGTATGGTGACCCATACTTGGAATTAGTGCTCTGCATTTGAACCCATCCAAAGTGCACACACACACACCCGGAGCAGTGGGCAGCCATTTTTGCTGCGGCGCCCGGGGAGCAGTTGGGGGTTCGGTGCCTTGCTCAAGGGCACCTCAGTCGTGGTATTGAAGGTGGGAGAGAGCGCTGTACATTCACTCCCCCCACCTACAATCCCTGCCGGTACGAGACTCGAACCCGCAACCTTTGGGTTACGAGTCCGACTCTCTAACCATTAGGCCACGACTTCCCCGAACTTCTTAGGCTTACGAAGCTTTTAGGAAACGCAGCCCAGGACTATTTGGATAAATATCATTTTTGGACATGTTCAGGGCTCAACGCATGGGGCCAGATTTACTAACAGCTTGAGCCAAACTACTGTCATGATTTATTTAAGACACATAGTGAAAAATTTGTGATGAAAAGGAGTAGACAGTTATTTTTGCAGCTGATCTTACTGCATATGCATTTGCACAAGAATATTTGGTCACACTTTATTTTGAGGACCAATTCTCACTATTAACAAACCATTAACTACGACTTTTGCCTCAATAAACTCCTAATTTGCTGCTTATTAATAGTTAGTAAGGCAGTTGTTAAGTTTAGGTATGGGGTAGGTTTAAGGTATCTAAAATATGTTCGTGCAGAATAAAGCATTTATATGTGCTTTCTAAGTAGGCTACTAATAAACAGCCAATATGCTACTAATATGCATGCTAATAAACAAGTAGTTAATAAATCATGCAAGGTGATTTACTAAGCTTTGTGGTAGTAAGTTTACTGGTATTTGCACCAGTATTTAACGCCCAAATACAAACACCCAAACGCATGTCTTAACTCATTTTGTGCTTGGGTTGTTAGCAGATTACACACACCTGATTATCATCCCCTCTGCTTGTTTGCTACCCTCCGCTAATTTACGCAGCTCTCGGAAGATTGCATTGGTCTTTATGGAAATGACATGGCTGTGTCTGTGTTTTTTTTATTTGCACACTGTCAGTAGATGAGCCGCAGGACTTTTCACTCCTATTGGTGCTTTTATGAGATTGCTGTCTCATGCTAATTTGCCCTGTTTAGTAAATCTGGTCCTTAGGATTCTTTCTACGGGCCAGTGGTTCAGGTTTTTACTTGCTCTGACAAACAAACAAACAAGCAAACAAACAAACAAAAAACTATTTAAAATTTTGATACCACAGCAAAAACTACTAGTTTAACAAAATATAAAATTTCAAACATTATTAAAGATAAGTATACAGTCAGTAATAAAATAATAACAATAAACAAATTACAAGCAATAGCACAAATACATACTATAGACCAGGGGTGCCCAAACTCGGTCCTGGAGGGCCGGTGTCCTGCAGAGTTTAGCTCCAACTTGCCTCAACACACCTGCCTTTAAGTTTCTAGTATGCCTAGAAAGAGCTTGATTAGCTGCTTCAGGTGTGTTTAATTGGGGTTGGAGCTAAACTCTTCAGGACTCTTCAAACTCTTCCTCCAGGACCGAGTTTGGGCACCCCTGCTATAGACCAAAGACAAATTAAATAAACAGTGCTTTAGGTCTTTTAAGAGTATGTTTAAGAGCAGTATTCAGGTAAGAAATGCTACAGAAATAAATAAAAAAATAGCATTGCGTAGTCTTCACTGTATAAATTAAATGTCAACTATGAGTCATTAGAATATTAGTAGAATATCTGCTAACAATTTATTTTGATACTCCCCAACAGAAATTCTACTGACCATATACGCAAGTAACTTTGCAAGTACATATCAACTTATTCTAACCCTAACCCTAACCAATACTAATAAGAGTTAGTTGACATATAGTTGCAAAGTTAGTAGAATGCCTAAAGTGTTTTTATCAAAATAAAGTGTAACCTTAAAAACAGATTAAGCTATATTAAATCTGCAACAGTTATTCCATCAAGAGCACAGTGAGTGTTTGTTTTGTTTTTCTTCTGTTATTTGTTTAAAGGGGTCATATGATGCGATTTCAATTTTTCCTTTCTCTTTGGAGTGTTACAAGCTCTTGGTGCATAAAGGCGGGGCATAGAGGAGAAACAATAATGTACAGTATGTGGAAAATAATGTGTTTTTTACACCAAATACACCAAATAATGTTCTTTTTAGCAACATCATATGACCCCTTTAACATTAAGGACACAGACAACAGCAGTTATATTAGGCTGCTGTCACTTTAAGATCTAATTCACATATCCAATAAATTGGCACACATCTGATTTTCTCCAAACTGTTTACATTCTTGAGCCATAACTGACTGTGTGCCAAGATTGGGATTTTTACATTATTTTGTGTGTATTTGTCCGGGTCAAGTGTGCTAAGACATGAAAAAAAAATAACTCAATTTAGTACTCTATATATTATAATTTAGATTTAGATTTCTGAGAGATGGCTTTTTGTGTGTGCACTTTAGGTTTGTTTATTTGGTAAGCAGTAATATGACTAAATAAAATCTTTCAGGCAGATACAAGACAAGGATATTCCCAGTGCATGCCGGATGCTGACCTGTGACGTGAAGTCTGTCTCCGCTGACCTCGATCTTGAGGAAGAGTCTTCCTCTGCGTTCAGTGTGGTCGGTCCCGCACAGACTTGGCACGTTCATCACACACTGCTTATGAACGTTCATGTCACAGGCTGAGAATAAGAGATAGAAACATCTGTAAACACTACAGGATTAGACATAATAAAGTCAACATGAAATGACATTCACAACCCATATCCCTTCCACAGTGTTTTCAACAGAACAGGGCAGTCAGTGTATATAGGGCTTGACTGAATATATTGGGAATTGATTAAATTGTAATAAGTTGTCTATATTCACAACAGTCAATTCGACATAATGGCTCCCTTCTTCTGCTTGCTAATTTTCCTACCCAGGCTTACTGGAAATACGTGCTTCTACTTACATTTCTGCTCAAAACTCAAAAAATTTACCTATATGCATGAATCACTGCAGTTTTTAGTTGAAATGAACATTAAGGGCAGCATAACTTTGACAACTTTTATATCTTTTCACACAAAGTATGATTTACAGTGCCAGAGTTCGATTAAGATAGCCTAATTCTCCCACAATATTATGTTATGACTTTAAAACATGCTGGGAGATTTGAAAACTGATACTTTTGAACATTTGCGTCATATTTACAGCTTCATAAGTAAGAGTTTTCTAACGCAGTAGGTTTGCTCGGCAGCTCTCGCGATACGGTGTTGCACTTGAGGTAAAGAGCTCTTGTACGAATCTCATGAATCTACGGTTCAACAAAACAGCTCAAACCAGCATATAAGGAAGTTTAAATATCAGGATTGCATATGTGTTTTATATCACTTTTGCTTTCGTTAACACTATCGGGTAGGTTTAGGGTTGGGTTTGGTGTAGTGGGTATGTTTTTTTCCAACATGATAGAGCATTAACCCTTTAGCGACACTCCCTGCACATTTAAATTCTGAACCACTGCAATACGTGCCTGAACCAACATAGCCACGGTCATGTATTGAACGCACATTTTAGCGCCACTCACTGGGCATTTAACTTTGAAACTGCCACTAAACATGCAGTAAGGAATGTAATATCGGTTTTGCAGAAACATTGCCACAAGTACGTATTTTCAACGAGCCTGGGTTTTAATTTTCTCTTTGTAGTTTTAATAAAATAAGTGTAGAAGCCATACATAGGCCGCAAGCCAGAACCATTTTAGATGTAAAACTGACTGCCACAAAAATATGATTTTTCAAGGAAATATTTGTAAGAATGTATGCAAATATGCATCATTTTGTCTAATCCACATCAACTTTTTATTGGTATTAACAAAGCTCCTGCACATTATGAAAACCTTTTATCCTTTGAATAACATGCACTGATGAATCTTCACATAAGACATGGAATTTGTATTTTGAAGGTGAACATGATAAATTTCTTGTTAAAGTGTCCCTATTATGGGTAATGAAAGGTTCATATTTTGGTTTTGGGAGGCAATATGCTAATGTTTCATGTTGACGTCAACTTGAAACGGCTTGGGATTCGTTTTAAAAACAACCCGTTTCAATGATTCAGAGTCGACTCTTTCTTTTGAGAGACATGTAGCGTCTGGATCAATCAAACACACAATTTTTCATTTGATTTAACAAATCAGTTATTCATTAGATTAACAAATCGTCACAGACCCCTCACCCAATAAACTGGGTGCCAGGATGTCTGCGAACGACACCAAACCATGGCAATTCCCCATGGCAACTAATGCTGATATCACTGGTTTTATGGCCCCAAAGGAATGTGAGTAGCGAAAATCACTACCTTTTCCATAGGAAGAGACACAGAGTCTATTACAGCATCACCCGCAAGTGACACCTGCTTAGTCATATCTCTTAGCAAAAAAAAAAACTTTTCCTTCTTAAAATCTTCCTTCTTCCTTTTCTTTTTTTTTTGATTTCATCTTATTTTATTTCAGTTTTGTCATAGTGACCAAACCCGTGAACCATCAGTGCACTGTAATTTAAAAGATGAGGCTGCCATTGGCGAGAGTCAGGAAAATGCTATAGGCCTATGTGATCAAAAAAGATTCACAAAACAGTTACACAAACTTGTGCATGAGTTAGTGATTTGAATCAGACTTGCTCAGTCTGTGAATTGTTGCTACTGAGTTTTCAAGCCTAAAAAAAATAAAATAAATAAAAATCATTTTTGATTTGAACCAGGAACCATTACTCCTTTATTATTGTTCAAAATATTATTGGCATATTTAGCGTAGTCTGGTTTTGTAATTGTAATTGTTTTGAATAGAATTGTAATTTTGAAGTGGTTTTAAGGTAATGCAAGCATCTGACAGGATACAATGTATTTTAATCAAAACTATTAGTGGGAGGTGAGGATTACCTGTGTGTGTGTATTTACTTATTTACTTTATCTATCTATCTATCTATTAGATAGATAGATAGATAGATAGATAGGCTTATTATTTGGGTTGAGACACCCCTCAAAAACCAATGTTTTTCCTTTTTGGGCAGAAATCCTTTTTTTTAATATTTTTTTTTACTACGAGTATAGTATAGTTAGCTTTTAGTTTGATGGTTTTATATGAATTTATTTGAGAACAGTCTTCAGGTAAGTTTGGTTACACTTTATACCGTATTGTCCCGAATATAAGATGATATTTTTTTCTTGGAAATACATCTGAAAAAACGCGGTCGTCTTATATTCAGGGTCTAGACTTTGACATGTCAATAATACACCCACAACACTAGGTGGCGCCAAATACGCATAACATGAGTGTGCCATGAAATACGTAATGTAATGCGTGTTGTAAAGATCTCGAGTAAAAACAAAAGAAGCAGAAAACCTTACAGCTGCATGAGTCGTGACTGTCCCGTTAGCCTGATGGGACCAAACTCCCTTTGTGATTTTAAAACGTAAGTCAGTACCCAGATTTGAAGACTACAGTAAGATTTAACTTCTACTCTTAATAAGATTTTGGTAGGCTACTATTAGATGGATAGCCTAATGTCCTAATTCAGATGGGCTACCTGTTTTGTTTTTTTTATGGTATATCAAAAAGTGTATATTTTTTAAATGTGATTGTTGATACATTTTTCCAGTTTTTACCATACTTTCAAAACAAAAATTAAAATAGGAAAAATATGCAATATGAAAATAATTGAAGACAAAATGTGTTTTACTGAGAAAAAACAAGATTTGGTTTTTAAAAAGCCTTTTTCCAAAAGGTACATCTGGAAAAAGGGGGGTCGTCTTATAATCAGGGTCGTCTTATATTCGGGCCAATACGGTAAATAAAGTGCAAATAACTTTTACTGAAATTTGTATTATATTTGCTAAATTATTACGATCATACGCCTTCAGTGTAAAATAAAATGAAAAAAAAAAACTGTAAAATTAAAGTCAATTTACAGTTTTTTTCAATTGCTTACACACATTTTCCAAAACTTTGCCTCTTTTATTTTTTTCAAAACTTTACACACAAATCCAAGAATTGCGCACACAAAATGCAAAATGCCTCACATCTCTTGCAAAATGAAGCACAGCATTCAAAATATCACAAACACATCTCAAAAGCAAACATTTTGCAAACACCTTTGCCATAATATTAATTCCGGTTAGATTTTTGTTACATAGAGAATTGTGTGTTGTGTTTTGCAAAATTGAAAACTGAGTCAAAGGCCGAGAATTAGTGTATGGTTTTGCAGATTTGGTGTGTGGTTCTGGTCTTTGAGTGTCAGATTTCAGAAATTGTGTGACAAGTAAAGATTTTGCATGTAAGCAGTTGAAAAAAACTGTAAACAATGTGCAAAAATGTTTACAGAAAATTTCATTAAAAAGTTTACAGAAAAACACTGTTATTTTACAGTTTTTTCCTGTATTATTTCATTGTAAAATGTAAACATTTCCAAGGAAGAAACTAATTAGGTTATGACATATGAAAGATATTCTGAGTTTTAATCAAGATACTTTGAAGCAAGTTCATCTTTTTCATCATATGAACAAAGCAAACTCCGGGGGGACATTTTACAGATTTTATAGTGAAAATCAAAAGACTGACTACATGAAACTAGTTTTTGATTGTGTATACAGAGTAGAGAGTTTTATATTTCCTGCATAAAGTGAAACTGTTGCTTGCTGGTACTAAACTAAACACTGCTAAGGTGTTGTGGGTGGTTTGTTTTTCCACTCATTTTATCATGTGATAGGTTAAAATCGTAAGTATGAGCAATAGTAACAGTGATGCTTGACTTAGCAAACAGCACTGATATTCAAAATCTTCCATGTGCCTCATTGAAATTGGGAGGAGAATTCCAAGGTGACCGTCAACTGCGAACTAAAAAAAACTAAAGTAGTTACCTAACAGAGGCTGACCGCGACAGCAGGTCAAGCGCTTTGCTGCGGTTTCTGTCCAGAAGCAGGAAGTTAATCATAAGTCTGCGGGGTTATTTCACTGGGCCATGCAAATAGGGCAACCAATTAATCTGTCTCTGAGCAGTCTGAAATTAATGAGAATGTGAATGTAGTTGAGGGGGTCTCGAGTTTTCCCATAACTAAACCATTAATCTGACATTAATAAAGAGCTGTCAGACTCTGGTTTAACTGCACATCAGAACTGCAAGGGAATGCTGAGTCAAGTATCACTGTTAGGAAGAGTTTCTATTTCTGTAACAGGAACTAGATCATCCCACAGCCAATACAGCAAATAAATGTTAGCTATATCACAGCAAAAAATGATTTTCTTACTTAATATTTTTGTCTTGTTTTCCATTACAAATATCTAAACATTCTTGAAACAAGATACATTTGAGTAGAAAAAAGACTTCAGATATTAAAGATATAAAAAGACATAAAATATTACAAATATATCAAATTTGTGTTAGTTTTTGCTTAAAACAAGAACAATTGCAGATATTTTTTCCCTTGTTTTAAGAAAAAACTAACACAATTTTGATAATTTTTTTTCGGAAAACAAGACTTAATATCTTCAGTCATTTTGCTTCTCAAGTAAATATATCTAGATCCAAGAAAGTTTAGATATCGGTAATGGAAAACAAGACAATAATACCAAGATTTTTTTTTTCCAGTGTAGCTGGACAAATGCAAAATAAAATGCGTTCCCTGCCAGCATTTTTAAAAAGGTTGC